AAGTCTAGTTGTGCATATTGTCAGCATTTTCCGGTTCAATGATTTTTGTTTGAGTTATGGCCCTTTAATAATTTTTAATTTTAAAGTTTGTCCAGGCTACTTCTCTTATACCACTTATGCAATTTCAATGAAACTTTACAGGATTGATCTGTAGCTCAAGTCCTTGCGCATATTGCACGGGTTTTCCGGTTGAATGATTTTTGGCCGAGTTATGGCCCTTTGATAAAAAGGTGTTTTTTTCTGTGTGTTGCCAGATACGCAAAAGCTTGTCCGGACTACTCCTCATAAACTACTGGTGCAATTTTATCCAAATTTTACAGGAATGATCAGTACAAAGTGGTTAGTCTAGTTGTGCACTGTTTGTCCTTCTGTCACAAAATTTGTCCCAACATGAAATTGGCCATCATGAGGCGACACATGTGATTACTGATCGCTCTTGTATTGTTATAATCAATGCTTTACTTTGACATTTATCATTCTTGTATTTATGAAATAACGTCAGCTTGTTTATGATACGATAACGTCATTACCCTGCTTACGGATTGGCGCCGTTTTGTCAAAATTTTTATTAACTGATATGGACCTAATATGTGGCGTTAGTGTATGTGAGATATTATTTCGGTATTGTATGAAAAGAAAACATTATACGAACTGAAAATATAAATAAAAATGCTTTTTATTGTTGCTTTAAAATGTTTTGTAAACTATATACAATTGAGGGTGAAAACATAACAGCGCATATACAAGTAGTCCCTTACCGGTGTTTATTGGCAGTTTAACACCAGTTTTTTTCCTTCTTTGTCTATAGTGACAAAATCACGTGAGTGTTAGAATCTAAAATTAATCACTCTTGTAATTAAATATTTAAATAAAAGCTGCTGACCTTCAACGTCTATTGTTTATTTAGTGTTCTCATAATTATATGTAGTGAAGGCACCCTTATTGTTCAGACACATAACTAGTTTAAATTTTAGTTTAAAATACATTTATTTTGTAACTGAGAAGCAAAACAACTCACATTTCAACAAACAGGTTTTATTAAGACTGCTTTATAAAATCACCAATACATACTTACATAACTTTATAAAATGGCACATTTTGTCATAAGGTTAATTAATATCACTTAATGGCAAAATATTGGCTGCCAGGTGCTGTATTAAATTTTAACCCCCGGCTGAACCAACATACGGTAAGTCAGTTTACAGAAAAGCAAGCACTCACATGATGTCTGTTCACAAGCAGTGGTGCTGAGACAGGAGTTGTCTCCCATAATCAAGAAGCGAACTAGCACTTTAACAATAGAAATTTACTGTTAGTGTACATTAAAATTAAGTCACTTTCTGGATGATAACTAGAATTAGCAATAAGATGTTTTAATCAAACTTGGTATTAAGCAAGATTATTTGGAGACCTTGCTTGGGATTGCTTTGGACCTCCTTAGGTCAAGGTCAATGTCATAATGTTACTTAAAATAGAAAAATGTTTTTTAAACAATCACTAGACATAGGAATGAGCTATTGTAGCTAGCTCAGGGACATGTTGTTACAATTCCTAGTCACTGTTTCTAAAAAAAGAAAAATGGTTTCTGGAAAATAGGCAATTAATTGTTATAGTTTTTGGTATGCAGATGACCATCGTAAATTATAGGTTAAAATTTTACTTGAGACCACTAATATTTTAAAAAAAATTAAGGTTGCTTAGGTTGGGATATGAATGAATCACTTTTAGTGATAGCTCTAAGTTCAATTGATTAATTCTTGCTCAAAAGATCTGAAAGGCTTTTTTAAGCACTCACATGATGTCTGTTCACAAGCAGTCGTGCTGAGACAGGAGTTGTCTCCCATAATCAAGAAGCTGAGAGATCTGAAAGATCTTAGAGGCCCACATGGAAGATTGGGAAACCAAATGTGTAGCCTCGATAAATAAAGCCTTTACTTACTTACTTAAAAGACCATTAATGAGAAAACTAATCTGATGATTATAACAATTCAAATATGCCTTTTACCTTTGAATGACCTTGACTTCACTTATGACAACACAGAAATGTTGAATTATTTAAGTATAACCTTGATCCCTAAATAACCTTGACTGTCAAGGTCAGATTATAATGTTGTTTAAATTTTGTACAAGAAAATGATATATTTTCTTCTGAGCAGCAATTTCTTTACTACAAAATTCTTCCTCAGAGTGATTTAAAAAATAAGATAAGTCGAACTTTGCGGCCTGCATGGTAATGGCTCTTGTTTTACTTATAATAATATTGATAAAAATGTTGCCAGTTCAATAAACTCAAAAATAGCACCTTCATATTATGTTTTTATTTTGCATGATTGCTCTATAATGAAATATATTAGTCTGAATATAATGTATATTTTGCCATTCTACTCTTTCTTTTGCTATGTATATTTTGGAAGGACACAAAATTTGCATGTTATTTTACAATATAGTTATGAGGTTCAAACGCTAAAACAAACTTTATTTGTTTACTTTTAGACAACTTTAATTCAGTATCATGAACACTTTTAACATATTCCAAAATAATATAAGTGTATTTTATTATATTAAGTCTGTTGAATTTTTCTTCGGTTGTTATAATAACATGTTATTTAAAATACAAAAATAACTTTTAAAATTATCAAAAATACTTCAATGAGTCTCAGTATTGTAAGTTCTATTTAATGCCAAAGTTATTCATGTAACTCAGTGTAGAAACAATTGCACAATTATGATTTCTATTAAGGTCACAGTTTGTCTATTAGATATAATTATTTCACATATTATATGTCTCTCATAATTCTGTCTAACATTTGATGTAGAATAGTTTTTAGCTCAACTTTTTTTTTTTTGAAAAAAAAATAGAGGTATTGTTATAGTCAGGTCGGCGTTGCCGTTCCCGTTCCCGTCCGCAAACTTGTACCTGGATCATAACTTTTTTATTTCTTGGTGTATTGTCTTCATACTTGTCCACAACAACCCTTCAGGGTTGTCATTAACATTTTTTGCAGAAGGTTTGTTTTGAACTTGAGGCGGTCATTTCTGTCTTTATCATGCATAACAAAGAGTGTTTTCTTAATTTTGAGGCGGCCCATAATGCATTTGAGACAGGCATTTTGGCCTCCTGCCGCCTCTTAATGACAACCCTGCCCTTGGGACAAGACCTTTCAGTAGACCACACTAACCTTGACCTTCATCCATAAATGACCTTGACCTTCAAGGTTAAAAGTCCAATTTTTGCTTGTTCATGCTGTTATTGGCTGTAACTTTGTTATTTTTAAATGGATTGTCTTCACACTTGAACATAATAATCTTCAAGGATATCCCTTAAAAATAACCAGCCAGACCTTGACCTTCACTCATAAATGACCTTGACTTTGAAGGTCAAATTATTGAAATTTTCATTTTTTTGGCTTTTATTGGCTGTAACTTTGTTATTTTTGAATGGATTGTCTTGAAACTTGAACATAATAATCTTCAAAGATAACTGTTAAAAATATACCGAAAGACCTTGACCTTCACTCATTAATGACATTGTCTTTGAAGGTCAAATTATTGAAATTTTCATTGTTTTGGCGGTAACTGACTGTAACTTTGCTATTATTGAAGGGATCAACTTCATATTATAACAGAACATTCTTAAGGACCAGACCTTGTTGTTTATCAAACCCAAATTTGCTTGGGCTCTTTAATGACCTTGACCTTGAAGGTTAAATTACTGAATTTTCTCAGATTTGTGCATTAAATGACCATAATTATATATTTTTTTGGTGTGTGTGTGTGTGTATCTATATATATATATTTACAACAACAACAACAACTAGAATTGCGTCATTGTTTCTATTTATAGAATGCGTCATTGTTTCTATTTATAGAATTGCGTCATTGTTTCTATTTTTAGAAATTGCGTCATTGTTTCTATTTTTAGAAATTATTTATAGAAATTGTGTCACTGTTTCTATTTTTAGAAATTGCGTCATTTTTTCTATTTTTGAAATTGCGTCATTGTTTCTATTTATAGAAATTGCGTCATTGTTTCTATTTTTAGAAATTGCATCATTGTTGCTATTTTTAGAAATTGCGTCATTCTATCTATTTTTAGAAATTGCGTCATTTTTTCTATTTTTAGAAACTGCGTCATTTTTTCTATTTTTTGAAATTGTGTCATTGTTGCTATTTTTAGAAATTGCGTCATTGTTGCTATTTTGAGAAATTGCGTCATTGTTTCTATTTATAGAAATTGCGTCATTGTTTCTATTTTTAGAAATTGCGTCATTGTTTCTATTTATAGAAATTGCGTCATTGTTGCTATTTTTAGATATTGCGTCACTGTTTCTATTTTTAGAAATTGCGTCATTGTGTCTATTTTTAGAAATTATTTTTAGAAATTGCGTCATTGTTTCTATTTTTAGAAATTGCGTCATTGTTGCTATTTTTAGAAATTGCGTCATTTTTTCTATTTTTAGAAATTGCGTCATTTTTTATATTTTTAGAAATTGCGTCATTTTTTATATTTTTAGAAAATGCGTCATTGTTTCTATTTTTAGAAATTGTGTCTTTATTGCTATTTTTAGAAATTGCGTCATTGTTTCTATTTTTAGAAATTGCGTCATTTTTTCTATTTTTAGAAATTGCGTCATTGTTTCTATTTTTAGAAATTGCGTCATTGTTTCTATTTTTAGAAATTGTGTCATTGTTGCTATTTTTAGAAATTGCGTCATTTTTTCTATTTTTAGCGTCATTTTTTCTATTTTTAGAAATTGCGTCATTGTTTCTATTTTTAGAAATTGCGTCATTGTTGCTATTTTTAGAAATTGCGTCATTGTTTCTATTTTTAGAAATTGGGTCATGTTGCTATTTTTAGAAATTTGCTTAATGTTTCTATTCATATATATATACAAAATATATAAACAAAACTAATGTGACAAGACAGACCAACTAAATTTATAAAAAGGAAACGTTATGTTCAAACCTTTCTATGTTTGCGTTTAGAAAAAGTAAAAAGTCGAGCGTTGCCCCGCCCGGCGGTGGCTCTTGTTAAATAATTAGATGGCAAAATGTTATTCTAATCAGATATAGTACACTTCAATGTTATAATCATAATATCTGCTGATACATGTCCTTGACATTTGTTGATTACAGATGACTGATGATATTCCACCTTTTCCCCTTTGAGCATCAATAACCTCTCCTATTAGTTCACCATCAGGTGTAAACTGTAAAACATTATTAGAAATAATTCCAGATACCAGTACACTACCTGCTTCAGTGATGTAACAACAATTAGCTATCTGTAATTGTTCACCATTATATGTGGTGATAACCTGACCATTGTTGTCCAGTACTATCAGTCCACTGTGATAATCAGCAACATAAATCCTTGTACCATCCTTACTGACAGCTAGACTGCGTATGTCTGAGAACAGCTTTTGTCCTGATTGGGTCTTACTAAACTGTTTAAGTTTCCTACCAGACAATGTATACATATAAACTGATGTGTTACCGTCTGAAATATATAAATTATTGTTTATGTATGCAAGACCATAACATTCAAAATCAGTCATAATCTTGTTTGTACTTTTCATTTGTCCTTCTAGAGAAACAAAATGAACCTCTTGTTTTGATGGCACAGTTACTGCTACTTGTGTGTTATTGATCATGCACACTTGATTTGGATATGCAGGAAGATGACAGTAGTCTATGACTGTATACTTGTAACTATGCAACCTTTTAAGCTTATTATTTAAACTATCTGCTAAAATGATTGTACCATCTTCCATACAGCAGGCACCTGTGATATAGCAGTCTTGTTCATCAGACTCAACTTTTACACAATATGATTGTTGTCCTTTAATCTGAAAAGAAGTAGGTTTCTCTGATAGTGTGCCAAGGGTTTCATTTTGTTCTAGCTCTTTAGGAAATGTATTATGAGGATGAAACTCGAAGTCGTTTAATGTACAGTTGATTCTTGTATCTACTATACATTTTTTGGCAGCTTTTGCAGCATCCTCTGCTATCTGCACATACACAAACACCTCAGCTTGATTTTGGTTTGGAGATGCTAATTTATCATTAGCTGATGTAACCTTGGCTTTATGTGCTTGTAGCTGTTTGAGACTCTCTTCAATCTTGTCTTCAAGACATTTGACTTTATCTTCTATCTCATCTACAGAATTTTTCTCTAGCTTGTCAAGTTGGTCATTGATTTCTTTTCGGAATTTTCTGATATCAGCCAATAACTCTGCCTTTCTCTTCAGCAGCCTTTGTTTATCTTGTGTAAATCTATCAGCTTGCTCTACAAGGGTGTTTGCTAAAGATTTTAGTTTTGTTTGAATTTCTCTTTGAGCAACTTGGTAAGATTTATATATATGTATATTTTGGATAAATTCTGGTATGTAGAATGTATCCTGGCATGATCTGAAAAAAGGTCAAACAATTTTAGGTATGTGTAAGGATATAATATTTACTGGTAAACTAATTTAGATGAAAGTTTATGTAAAGAACTTATCAAACTCTTCCTGAGGCTAATACTTATTGAAACAAGAGCTGTCCGTAAGACAGCGCGCTCGACTTTTTTATTGCTTGCCAATAAAAAAAGTTTTTGCAGTAAAAGGCAATACAAGAATCTCTGTATTTTTAAAGTGAACTAGTTGTTTGATACCCTTGAATATTACAGCAATGTTTATATGACATAATTTATGGTAAAGTGAACAAGTGGATAGGAATGAATTTTTTTAGATTTTTTAAGTTTTTTAGTGCTTGCCTATAATACAAAACATTGACAGTTAAGGGCCATAATTCAAATAAAATCTTTGACAGAATTACCTTCTCCTGGACATGTTTGGGAATCATGATTGTAAACAAGTATTCCAACTTTCAAATTAATATCTCAAACAGTTCAGTCAAAAAGTGGACTGGTACTAAAAACTTAACCAAGATTCTAAGTCGATAAAAGGCCTTAATTTTTAAAACAAATCCTTGACAGAGTTACCTTCTCTTGCGTACAGATGGGGGTAATGATGTGAAATAGCATTAAAAGTTTCAAAGCAATATCTCAAAGGGTTAAGGCAATAAGTGGATTTTACCCATATTCAATGTATTTTCTAAGTCAAAAAGGGGCATAATTCTGTCAAAAACCTTGACAGAGTTATGTCCTCTTGTCTGTTGATGAAGGTCGTGATGGTAAACAAGTATGGTCAGTTTCAAAGCAATACCTCCAATGGTTTTGAAATAAAGTGAGGTGGTACAAAAAACTTAACCAAGCTCAATACACTTTCTAAGTCAAAAAAGGGCCATAATTCTGTCAAAAACCTTGACAGAGTTATGTACTCTTGTCTGTAGATGGAGGTTATGATGGTGAACAAGTATGGTAAGTTTCAAAGCCATACTTGTAATACTTCTGAAATAAAGTGGGGTGGTACGAAAAACTTAACCAAGGTGTGACGCCGACGCCGACGCCGGGGCGAGTAGGATAGCTCCCCTTTTCATAGAAAAGTCGAGCTAAAAAGTCTAATTATTTAGGCATGTACTGGTATTTAAAAAAAAAAAACCTTGTTACCTATGATCAACTGCCATACATGTAGAACAGCCGACTTTATCGTGGTTCTGACAGTACATATCAATATGTTTATGACTGTGTCTGTCACATCTCTCTGTTGGTGCCCTCGGCAGACTTTTGCTGATTCCTGACTGGAACTGAGAAGTATCCAACACCTTGTGGCCAGCACATAAAGGCACTTGACTGTGAACTTTGACACAGTTTTCACAGAAATAATCATCACAATCTACACAGAATTTACCAGCTTCAGTGTTTGTGCCTTGATTTTTACACATAGAACATAGTATATCAAATATTTCATCAGAAAGAATATCTGTATTTAATTGTCTGCCTGTTGCCATCTTGTATATTTCCTTGTTCAAACTTATTCTTGTTATTGATATATACAACACAAAAATGTCAGTATATTAAATTTTCCCAATGTATTTTCACATATTGATTTATTTTTAAACTTTTTTCTTAGCCTTTCATTTTTCAGTGTCTCCTAAATGACTGTTCTACCAATAACATAGTTTTATCTTATAATAACTACATACTCTAAATGTTAATTATTGCAAAAAACCTTCAGTTCACATGAATTAACAACAACAAAAAAAATCACACAAATTTGCACACAAAATTAATTTCATCTTGTTAAATATATATTGATCCGAGGTTCATATCCTTTAAACTGAAATTACTCAGTTTAAAGATATGATTGGTTTAAAATATTTACAATAACGAGAAAGTATGTAATATGAATAGTTTTCAGATAAGTATTTTCATCAGATATCAACATTTGATATATTTATCTTCCTTGAAAGGAAATGACAACTTTCCAATGCAGAGCATAATAGTAAATATATGCAGAGGCACTTATAATCTGACACTTAAATTTTTCGGTATCAATTGGTTATTTGTGGACGGATTTTGTTAAATTCGGATCGTACAAAATTCCACATACTACTTATAATTTTATTTACAATTCATTGACAAGAAAATAGAAAAAAATAACAAAACAACTAGGCTTCTGTTAAATGAAAAATTGTGAGATGAATATTGAACTGGCGTGCAAAAAAGCAACCAATAGCCCCTCACAATTTACTGGAACAAGCCCTTGTTCAGTAATGATGAAATATCTCCATTAAGCCTTCATGAGAAATTATGTCATTTAATTCCATGAGATAGAGGTGTTTACGTTATTGGAGGACACATAAAGTATTAGAACTGGTTAACATAAAAATTAAGTGTGATTCAAAGAGTAGTCTGTTCATTTTGTTATGATTTTATGAATGTAATTGTTTTTTTCATGAATATTAAAAAAACCAGCTGACCTTCAACGTCTAAGTATTATTTGGTGTCCTGTGACATAGGTAGCGGGGGCACCCTTGTCGTTCAGACACATTTTTAGTTGCTTTATAATTTTAAATACATATGTTATAAACTGGTATCTATTTCAGGGTCCTTATATTAGATTGGGATGTTCACCATGGAAACGGAACACAACATATGTTTTATGAAGATCCAAGGTAAGATACTGCTTCTACTTTTGTTCTACCTTAAACAATTCTTACATTGCATAAATAAATAAAACCTAAAAAATGCATTAGGTAATCTAATATGATGCTGCTAGAAATTACATTAACGAAATGTACAACAAATATATATAGTGAAAACATAATAACAAATAAGTTAATGTATACCTGTTATAACCTTTTCACCACGTACAAGATAGGTATACCCAACCCACTTGCAGTACTATGATTTGCAGACATTACAATAATATATATGATATCTTTCATTTTCATTAAAATTTTTAACCTGTATTGGGTTTTCTTAAGTTTCTTTTTTTTCTTCCATGAAAGTGCAGGTTTAAAAAACACACATCAGTTAGAATTCTTATAAATCTTTGAAATCTCCCAGGCAAATCCCTTGTTGGAACAGAAAAATGATTAGACTTTGCCTCCAGTATAGTAGATCCAGGCCAGTCTGGCCACATCCATGTACTTCAACCAAGCTCTGTACTGTTGCTAGCTTAAATTTTGTGGGTTTTTCTACTGTTTTTATTTTTAGATTAAAATCAATTAATGTGAATAAACTGTTCCAAATTTAAGGCAGGTGAAATCCATTTTTACAAATTTTGCAGGTTGAGGGTTAAAGCTCTTGCAGTGAATTTTAATTTGCAGTTAAACATGTTTTTTACTCAAAACCAAATCAATTAAAAACTTTTTTTTCAGCATATTATACATATCATTACATCGTTATGATGGTGGGTTTTTTTACCCCACATCAACTGATGGGAACTACAACATGGCAGGGAGAAAAGCTGGCCTTGGCTTTAATGTTAATATACCCTGGCATTATGTAAGTAATAGAAGATAGAAAAAATGGTATTTTATACATACTAGAAGTAGAGAAATGGTATTATATAAGCAGTAGAAATGAAAAAATGGCATTTTGTAATTAAGTACTTGAAAAAGAATAAAGGCATTTTGTAGGTATATTATATAGTAAAATGTCATTTTTTTTAAGTACTAGAAATAGGAAAATGGCATTTTGTAAGTACCCGAAAAAGGGAATGGCATTTTAGATCATGTTGAAAATTGGTATTTTAAAAGTACAGAAATAGAAAAATTGCATAGGTGTGGTATTCTGATGGGTTGTATTGCTAATGTTGATTTTGTATTATCATCAAACCAAAGCCAAGAATATCTGAACAAAACTATTATTTTCTTTAATGAACAAGTTTATGAGATAGGTTATATTTAGATATGATGTTTGAATTTTGAAATATATGGCAAATAAATACCTTATATAAAAATTAAAACATCATATTGATATGACTGCTTATAATCATTATGTAGCAAGCTGTCATAGACTTTTAGTATGTATTCATATCAGAATGTTTTTTTTATTGCTATTTTAGGGAGGCAAAGGGGATGCTGAATACCTAGCAGCATTTCAACAAGTTATCATGCCAATTGCTTATGAGGTAAGACAATACAATTGAATATTAGATATGTTTATGAGGTAAGCTCATACAATTTTATATGAGTTAAGATTATACCATTACTTATGTTAAATATCATATGATTGCCTATGAGGTATAAAGTCATACAGTATCAAATTAAATGAGCTAAGATCTAACAATTGCCTATGAGGTAAGATAATACATTTGAATATGAGATAAATTTATGCATTTACATATAAGGTAACATCATACATTTTTATATGAGATAAGATCATACAATTACATTTGAGTTAAAGTCATTTAATTGCCTATGAGGTAAGATCATACAATTACATAATTTTGAGGTAAGATCATGCAATAACATATGAGTTAAGATCATATATAATTGCTTATGATCTTAGATAATGCAATTGTATATGAGCCAAGATCTTACAATTGCATATGAGGTAAGATCATACAATTAAATATGAGGTTGGTTCATGAATTTGTATGACAAATGTGATCATAAAATTTTATTTGAAGTAGTATTATACAATTACATACAAGTTAAAAGTCATAATTGCCTTTGAGGTAAAATCATACAATTGCATATTAGTTAAAAATCTTAAAATTAGGTGAGATCATTGAGTTGCATATGAGGTAAGATAATACAGTTGCATATGAGGTAACATCATACATTTGCCTATGAGGTAAGATCATACAATAACATATGACATAAGATCATACAGTTGCATACAAGGTAAGATCAGGGATACTGGTATTATTTCATTTCTGTTTTATCTTGTTGACATATTTCATTTCATAGGAATCTGTAAAGAATAATATTTTCATCACTTGTAATGAAGTAGTGTAAAGTTACAGTTTGTTGATTATGTTTAAAACGTTATGTAAAGGTTAAGTAGAGTCACCTCATCGGGCAACCACTGAACCATTGCTATTGTTATAAATTGCATATTGTCATTATTTTAAATAAAGTTATATGTTCTAAGTTATTGTCTCATACTAAGTATGTTTATATTAAGGATACAATGAAATCTGTACATATCTTGATTTCAGTTTGCTCCAGATCTTGTATTGGTTTCTGCCGGCTTTGATGCGGCCATAGGTGATCCACTGGTAAATATTCCATTCTACAATTTGGTCTTATAATATAATAAAGTGATGCTGTTTTGTAAAATGAATTTATTTGTTTTGCGAAATTTCATTGTATTATTGAATACTGCAATATATAATACATACCTACCACCTCCAATGCCTCACTGCACCCTCAGGGAATAGCTGAGACTTTTGGCTTTTGGATTTTCAAACTCCTGATAAAGGTACTGTGACCTGCATGGACAGATTGTAAAATTCAAGTTTAAAGCCCTTGGACATATCATAGGCCATTGTGGTGCCAAAACAAAACTATCCCCACCAGTGTATGATGGTGGTGGGGCTGAGGTAAAATTTGACTGGTGTATGACTAAAAAAGATTTCATAAGGTTTTATTTCCTATGGGTATTTGTGTATACATTAGATATATTAATGTAATCAAGTTTTTTATCCTTTTTAATGTTTTGTATAGTAAAATGATTCTTTGGAACCGTGCACTTTTTTCAATGTTCAATCTTCACAATTGATGTTAAGTCACATGTTTTCTTAATAATTATTGCTTTAAGCCAACAAGAAAAGAGAAAAATTGTTACGATTTGTTGATTTATATGTTTGTTTGATTTTTTAGGGAGGATGTAAATTAACTCCTTCAGGGTATGGTCACATGACACATATGTTGAGTAGTTTGGCTAATGGCAGGGTTATTGTTGTTTTGGAGGTAAGTAACTTATTTCCACACTTTCAAGGTCAAGATTGTCTTTGGAGGTCATAGGTCAAATTTTATGTGTCCACTCACCTGTTTGGCTTGTAACATTTTTATTCTTTGATGGATTGTCAAAACATTTTGGATATGTCTTCACCAAGATCAGAGAGTCATGCAGCACCAAATATAAGGTTGTACTTAAAGGTAAAAAAAAGTCAGATGGCAGGGGAATCCATGAAGTATGGAAACATTTCTAGTTTTATTTCATTACTTTATCTGACAAATTAAAGGTGTCGATTGAAATATTTCTTTTTTAGCTCACCTGAGCTTGCTCAGGGCGAGCTTTTAGGATCGGTGAATGTCCGTCGTCCGTCCACAATTGCTTGTGAACACTCTAGCGGTCGCATTTTTGCCTCAATCATCATCAAACTTGGTCAGGATGCTTATCTAGTTGAAAGCTCGAATGAGTTCGAACATGGCTCATCTCGGATGAAAAACTAGGTCACAAGAGCTAAAAATAGAAAAACCTTGTGAACACTCTAGAGGTCACATTTTTGACCCAATCATCATCAAACTTGGTGAGGATGTTTGTCTAGGTGATAGCTCGGATGAGTTCGAACATGGGTCATTTCTGATGAAAAACTAGGTCACAGGAGCTAAAAATAGAAAAACCTTGTGAACACTCTAGTGGTCACATTTTTGACCCAATCATCATCAAACTTTGTCAGGATGCTTGTTTAGATAATAGCTCGGATGTGTTCGAATATGGGTCATCTCGGATGAAAAACTAGGTCACCGGAGCTATAAATAGAAAAACGTTGTTAACACTCTAGCTGTCACATTTTTGCATCAATCATCATCAAACTTGGTCAGGATGCTTATCTTGGATGAGTTCGAACATGGGTCATCTTGGATGAAAAAGTAGGTCACTGGAGCTAAAAATAGAAAAACCTTGTTAACACTCTAGCGGTCACATTTTTTCATCAATCATCATCAAACTTGGTCAAGATGCTTGTCTAGGTGATAGCTCGGATGAGTTCGAACATGGGTCATCTTGGATGAAAAAGTAGGTCACCGGAGCTAAAAATAGAAAAACCTTGTTAACACTCTAGCGGTCACATTTTTGCATCAGTCATCATCAAACTTTGTCAAGATGTTTGTCTAGGTGATAGCTCGGATGAGTTTGAACATGGGTCATCTCGGATGAAAAAGTAGGTCACCGGGGCTTAAAATAGAAAAACGTTGTTAACACTCTAGCAGTCACATTTTTGCATCAATCATCATCAAACTTGATCAAGATGCTTGTCTAGGTGACTAGGTGATAGCTCAGATGAGTTTGAACATGGGTCATCTCGGATGAAAAACTAGGTCACAGGAGCTAAAAATAGAAAAACCTTGTTAACACTCTAGTGGTCACAATTTTGACTCAATTGTCATCAAACTTGGTCAGGAAACTTGTCTAGGTCATTGCTGGGAATAAATCGAACATGGGACATCTCGGATGAAAAACTAGGTCACAGGAGCTAAAAATAGAAAAATCTTGTGGCTACTGTTGTGATCCAAATATTTTGTTAATTGGTCTGAAAGTTTGTTTTGATGATTTCTAAGTCAAGATCGAACATGGGTCATCTTGGATGAAAAACTAGGTCACACCGCCCAAACATGGAAAAACCTTGTTAACATTCTAGTGGTCACATTTTCGACTCAATTATCATCAAACTTGGTCAGGATGCTTGTCTAGGCAATTGCTTGGATGAGTTTGAAATCGCATGTGAAACTAGGTCACCGGATCTAAAAATAGAAAAATCTTGTTAACACTCTAGTTGCTACTGTTTTGATCCAAGTATCCTGGAAATTGGTCTGAAAGTTTGTTTTGATGATTTCTAGGTCAAGTTTGAATATGTGTCACCTGGGTAAAAAACTAGGTCACACTGCTCAAATATGGATAATCCTTGTTAACACTGTAGTGGTCACATTTTTGACTCACCTGTCATGAGACTTGGTCAGAATGCTTGTCTAGGTAATTGTTTGGATGAGTTTGATAAGTCAGGTGAGCGATCTAGGGCCATCATGACCCTCTTGTTTTTCTAGTGGGGCTTGTTTAGTTTTAACAAATTTAGATAAGATTGTGATGAATGTTTGAGGCTTATTCAAATAACACTTGAGACTAGTGTCATATATGGAAACACAGTTGGGCTGGCAGGCACCTTTACCACAAGGCAACTGCTCCCCCTTTCAGGCGCCTTTTAAAAAACTTAATTTTACAAAGCTATTTGGCTCTATGAATATGATATGTGGGCATTTTTTTGAATGAAAATATTTTTCTTCATACAGTAATAATGTAAATGCAACATACACTGCTAAGTATTTTAAGGTTGCTTTGTAAGTATTAATATTTTTTGTTTTATTAATTTTCAACAGGGCGGCTACAATCTGGTTTCCATGGCAAATTGTATGGCAACTTGTACATCAGTATTACTTGGTGATCCTGCCCCACCCTGGAGATATGAGCAACCTCAACAAATGTAAATACTCAGTTTTCTTACATATTTCAACTTGTTTATGAAAATATATTGTAAGCAAGAAAATGCAGTACAAAATATGTTTTAGATTATGTCTTATATGAATACAATGTCCCACAGAGTGTTAGCGGTCACAGGAACTTTAGATCCTTTCATGTTCAAAAGCTCTTCAGATAGCATATGGAAGGCCATTGATTCTAGTTTGTGGCCCTTTTGTGCCTGCAATATTACACAACACCTTATTTAGAACACCTGAATAACTGGGAAAATAGCCATAATAACTTGATAGTGTAATTTTTAAATCCAATCCAAAAAAAGAAAAGTTAAATGTAGGATTTAGACATTAGAATTATGGGTTAGAGTGGGTGATTTGCACTTGTCTGAATAATGAAGCCACTTTTTAATTGGTGTATACCAAAAAAGTGACTAGCCTTGCTATAAGTTAATGGTTATTTATGTGTTCATTTTTAGAGCTGTGATGACAATCTGTGAAGTGCTTGATTATCACAAGAAATTCTGGAAATCTCTCAAATTTAGGGGTTTGTTTGTTTCATCTCTATTTGTATGCTATAAATTTAAGTAAGTTATTTATAATCCTAATTGAGTGAAAAAATAATCTTTAGTCACAGACTTAATAGAATTGTTTTAAATAATCAACAGTGGTGTGATTGAACTATTGCATAATTATTTAACTTAAACTGTGACATTTAATGGGTATAAAGCTATATCTTATGAAATATCTTTATCAAATTTATCAACAGTAAAATTATATTGGTTCCATAATCTTATGGTTGATTCTCCAAAGAGTTGTCACTTAGAATGTCTCTTTTATTTAGCACACATGAATATAATTTGTACATAAACAGAATAAAATGTTCTGGAACAAGATTTTATTCTGCTATTTCAAGTCGGGTTAAATCAGTTTAACAATGATTTCATGTATGCGCCATGCAATTTTAAGGCAATTTAATATCATATTAATTTCATACAAGCATATTGGTAGTATGATTTTTTTAAAATTCAAACAATAATTTTTGCAGTAGATATTCAGCTTCATACACTTTGATATTTTTCCTTTCAAAAAAAATATCATTTTGAAAGTTTCATTAGAAATACATTCATAGATACTCAAGTAATCACAATACAATAATTTATATATTTTTATTCATTTTACAGTTGGTATACCAGCTAAAGAAAAAGAGGAAATTAGGTAAAAACATATTTCATCAAGTTTTTTGGGAAGGCTATTTAGTCCCATCTTATCTTGACTTTTTCTTCCCTTATCAGTAATATCCATATACATAACAATAAAGTTTGTTACCATGATACAATTTTAATAGATCAGAACAAAAAACTAAACAGTTTTCAGTCTCTATAGACAAAATGAATTTCACCTTAAATGGAAGATTGACTATAAAACTTTCTGTGCAGTTTATGAATAGAATATTTTATATTTACAAGATACTAGTTAGTTAACCAGGAAAGCTGGTTTAGTTGTATTACTTTAATATGACTAAAAATTGGTCTTAAAGGCCAGAAAACTAACATTCATTACATTGTCATGTTACATCTATACATACATTAGATTGTCATGTTATACCTTTAAATTCATTAAATCACCATGAAACATGAATTTAATCTATAAATTCAGTACATTGCCATGTTACATCAGATTCTCAACATTTATTGCATAGTCATGTTACATCTTTATAATTTTAATATATTGTCATGTTACATCTATACTTCCATTAGATTGTCATGTTACATCTAAACATTCATTTCATTGCCATGTGACATTTTACTTTTCATTTCAGTGTCATGTTTCATCTATACTCTCATTTCAGAGTTATGTTTCATCTAAACATTCATTACATTTTCATCTTACATCTAAATATTCATTTCAGAGTTATGTTCCATCTAAATATTCATTACATTTTCATCTTACATCTAAACATTCAATTCATTGCCATGTGACATTTTACTTTTCATTTCAGTGTCATGTTTCATCTATACTCTCATTTCAGAGTTATGTTCCATCTAAACATTCATTACATTTTCATCTTACATCTAAATATTCATTTCAGTGTCATGTTGCATCTATACTTTCATTACATAAAGGGAAATAATACAAATAAATGTTGTTGTGTTTTTCAGCCTAAAAGAGACTGACAGTACAGATAGTAATAATATCAATAACCTGAGTGAACAGCTTAGCTCAATTTCTGGTATGTTCATGTTCAATATGTTAGTCAATAGTTACTGGTAAATTACAAGTATGTTAACACTATTACTAAAGCTCTTAAAACACTTGAATTATGAAGAATTGTTTCATATCATTTTGAAGTAAATAAGGAAATGCTTCATGCCCTCTTAAAGTGTATAGATTAAAGTGTACATACATTCAGTCAAACCTTTTATAAGTACCAGTTTAAGGACATCAGGAATGCTGATTTTAATTTTGACGACACATTGTTCAATTAAAATAAAATTCACTAGAATTGAACAAATTGGAACAAAATTGATGCTGTAGAAACATTACCTGACCTTGATTTGTTTACCATAGAAAATGTCTTTGGTGTTTTTGCAAGATAAGATGGTTGATATATGATAACTGTTGGGGCACTGTCTCTGTTACCATTGAGCAATTACAAAAAAAAAACAAGATGGCATCCAAGATGGTGGTAAATCATAAAAAAGATTGAAATAATCACTGAAGATTGTGTATGATATGAATTAAATGCTCAGAATTGTATAATGTGAATACAATATGTAGAATATATTTACCAAGTGAAAATACATGTTCAAAACATGGCTGCCACTGTAATGAAAAACACAATTAAGTAATAAGTCCTTACATGTACATAACATACCAAATTTTTTTTGGTAACAAAAACCCTTTAGACAGCATGTCTTATTCGACTATGTAACTTTGACCTACACGTGACCTTGACCTCCATATGACCTTGATTTTCGAAGGCAAAATCAACAAGATTTTTGGAAACAAAATTTAAGTTTATGTCTTCTTTTGGTCACAGCACTTGTTTAAATGATGAATTATTAGGCTTTCTCCCACCTTTCAACTTTGAAGTTTAAAGAAAGCTACTTTAATAATACTGGAACATCTGGCGATTAAGACTTCACATTTTCTGATCAATATGGTCCATAGAAATTTTTAAAAATCTTTAAATGTGGTAAACAACATGTAGATGATTAGAGCTGGTAGAAAAACTTAACCATGATAAGAGATATACAATTACAGTGCATAAATCATATGTACACCAATCTACACCAGTAGCCAATATGTAAATTGCTTTTTGATAAGGAAAAAAGGAAGTATAGATGCTGTTTCCACACTTAATTATTCAGGTTAAGAGGTCGTACATTTCATTTAGTTTCAGTTATATTGAACAAGAATTCAAATCAGGGTGAAGATGTTAGGGTAAGGGTTCAATGTGAAGTAAGTGATTTGTATGCAGCAGATGCGCAATATCATAACTGTTGCAAATTAAACTTGTCACCACAGAAAGTAAATGCAGCTGATGTATAAGAATATCTCTAGAGACTAAAGGCAAATGAAATATCTAATACTATTAGCTTTGATGTTAGGAGGCAAAGAAGGATTTCAGAATTTGACAGATTTATTTGATGCATACTTGATTCATATTTGCACTCATTACGGCATTTCAAATCTTCTGCCTGGAAATCACTAACTAACCAGTTACCACTACCGTTACTTCATCTGGCTTTTAGCATTTTGAAAAAGTCCATTAGATATTAGCCATAAGGTATCAGCATGTCCTTATTGGTATACAGGTGAATTATTTTTAGATCCTTTTCTATATAAAAATCCTTGTCTGTAGAAAATGACAGTGTTTCTAGAAATGAAATGTAAGATGTAGACTGAACAATATGATATATGCATTGTAATAGAATGTGTCCTTTCTTGATATAAATCTTAATTTCCTTTTTTAATGTGAGGAAGCTATCCAGCTAGCTAACTGAACATCATTGGTTCTACTCAGGAGGGCGTTCATGCCTAAAATAATGCATGGAAGGACACCTAAGGTCTTCCTCCACCAGTAAAGCTAAAATGCTGCCATATAACCTATACTGTGTCTGTGTGACACAAAACCCAATCAAAACAATCAATAAAAACAAAAGCTTTTCTAAGCTTTCGACATTAAGTCTTCTTCAGAACAGAATTGTCGTTTACATTTTTTTTCCACCTCAGCATAATGTACATTTTCAGAACTGATGTTCATATGAAATGATTAGAGTAGAAATGAACCCTTGAAATAGATATTAAATTTTGATTGTGTTTTCATATATTATTTCCTGGTGTTTGCTAAGTTGAGATGTATAATTTTCTACAGAAGAGGCCATTAGGGCCTGAGTGAATAATTACAAACAGTAGAAAAGTTAATTTCCTTTCCCATCCTTTTATTAGTTTTCCTTTTGAAAAAGAAAAAAAAGTACTTGAGATGCTTTGTCAATGTATCAAGGATATTATTATGTACTTAAAAACACACTGTCAGCTTTAATTGACTGAGGCTTTAATTGTTAATATAGGACATGTGAAAATGACATATGTTGTTACATAATTATGCTGTTATCTTCCTTTTCTAATTAATCACTTTATCTTTAACCCTTAACTAATATCTTAAGTGGACTTGTCTAGCTTTCATTTTTGGAACAGTCCATTAACATTTTTGGGGATCATCTTTATGGAAATGTTAAGTCAGTCAGTCAACAGTATAGGGCTTGGTTTGACTCCACATAAGAGCAGATGCGTCTTGCTCTATACTGGAGACAAAGTCTTACCACTTTCAGTTGCAGCAGGTTGTTGCAGCAGGTCTGGCTCAATACTGGAGGCAACAGCTTACCTTTTCCGGTTGCAGCAGGTCTGGCTCTATGACGGAGACAAAGGCTTTACCAGTTGCAGCAGGTTTTGCTGTATACTTGAGGCAAAGGCTTACCACCTCTGGTTGCAGCAGGTCTTGCTCTTTACTGGAGGCAAAGATTTACAGCTTCAAGTTGCAAGAGGTCTTGCTGTATACTGGAGGCAAAGGTTTACAACTTCCGGTTGCAGCAGATCTTGCTCTGTACTTGAGGCAAAGATTCACCACTTCAGGTTGAAGCAGCTCTTGCTCTATACTGGAGACAAAGATTTATAACTTCCAGTTGCAGCAGGTCTTGCTTTATATTGGAAGCAAAGGCTAACCACTTCTGATTGCAGCAGGTCTGGCTCTATACTGGAGGCAAAGGCTTACAACTTCCAGTTGCAGCAGGTTTTGCTCTATACTTGAGGCAAAGGCTTACCACTACCAGTTGCAGCAGATCTTGCTCTATACTGAAGGAAAAGATTTACCACTTCCAGTTGCAGCAGGTCTTGCTCTATACTTGAAGCAAATGCTTACCACTTCCGGTTGCAGCAGGTCTTGCTCTATACTGGAGGCAAAGGTTTACCACTTTGCAGCAGGTTTTGCTGTATACTTGAGGCAAAGGCTTACCACCTCTGGTTGCAGCAGGTCTTGCTCTTTACTGGAGGCAAAGATTTACAGCTTCAAGTTGCAAGAGGTCTTGCTGTATACTGGAGGCAAAGGTTTACAACTTCCGGTGGCAGCAGGTCTTGCTCTATACTTGAGGCAAAGATTTACCACTTCCGGTTGCAGCAGATCTTGCTCTGTACTTGAGGCAAAGATTCACCACTTCAGGTTGAAGCAGCTCTTGCTCTATACTGGAGACAAAGATTTATAACTTCCAGTTGCAGCAGGTCTTGCTTTATATTGGAAGCAAAGGCTAACCACTTCTGATTGCAGCAGGTCTGGCTCTATACTGGAGGCAAAGGCTTACAACTTCCAGTTGCAGCAGGTTTTGCTCTATACTTGAGGCAAAGGCTTACCACTACCAGTTGCAGCAGATCTTGCTCTATACTGAAGGAAAAGATTTACCACTTCCAGTTGCAGCAGGTCTTGCTCTATACTTGAAGCAAATGCTTACCACTTCCGGTTGCAGCAGGTCTTGCTCTATACTGGAGGCAAAGGTTTACAACTTCCTGTTACAGCAGGTCTTGCTCTTTACTGGAGGCAAAGGCTTTACCACTTCCAGTTACAGCAGGTTTTGCTCTATACTGGAGGCAAAGGCTTACCACTACCAGTTGAAACAGGTCTTGCTCTATACTGGAGGTAAAGGTTTACAACTTCAAGATGCAACAGGTCTTGCTCTATACTGGAGGTAAAGGTTTACAACTTCAAGATGCAGCAGGTCTTGCTCTATACTGGAGGCAAAGGCTTACCACTACCAGTTGAAACAGGTCTTGCTCTATACTGGAGGTAAAGGTTTACAATTTCAAGATGCAGCAGGTCTTGCTCTAAACTGGAGGCAAAGGCTTAACAACTTCTAGTTGCAGCAAGTCTTGCTCTTAACTGGAGACAAATGCTTTAGAACTTCCAGTTGGAGTAGGTCTTGCTCTAAACTAGAGGTAAAGGCTTTACAACTTCAAGATGCAGCAGGTCTTGCTCTAAACTGAAGGCAAAGGCTTTACAACTTCTAGTTGCAGCCGGTCTTGCTCTTAACTGTAGACAAATGCTTTAGAACTTCCAGTTGGAGTAGGTCTTGCTCTAAACTATAGGTAAAGGCTTACCACATCCAGTTGCAGCAGGTCTTGCTCTTTACTGGAGGCAAAAATTTACCACTTCCATTTGCAGCAGGTCTGTCTCTATACTGGAGGCAAAGGCTTTACAACATCCTGTTGCAGCATGTCTTGCTCTATATTGGAGGCAAAGATTTTCCACTTCCTGCTGCAGCAGGTCTTGCTTTGTAGTGGAGGCAAAGGGTAAAAAGCATGATGACTGGCTATTACGGATGTTTATGAACTGTAATGTGAAATTAAAAGATTCCAGAGTTGGTTATGTATGAAGTATTGGTACTTTACATGTATATAAAAAAAAACTATATGTAGATTGTATTCTGAATATTCCAGTAAACTGTATTGAAAAATATTAGCCACAAAAATATTTATGTTTTTATATATTCAGATTTAATGGTTCCTTTGGTCTTTTCATAATGTTAAGTTGACCAAAGAGTACAATTTAGTAACTAGAGAATGAGTAATTATGCCCCCACTTCGAAGAAGAGGGGGTATATTGCTTTGCACTTGTCGGTCCGTCTGTCCTTTGGTCCGTAGACCAAATGGTTTCCGAGTGATAACTAAAGAACCCTTAGGCCTAGGGACTTCAAACTTGGTATGGTTATTGGTCATGACCAGTAGATGACCCCTATTGATTTTGGGGTCAATGGGTCAAAGGTCAAGGTCACATTGACCTTGTAAACAAAAACGGTTTCCGATCAATAACTAAAGAACCCTTAGGCCTAGAAACTTCAAACTTGGTATGGTGATTGGTCATGATCAGTAGATGACCCCTATTGATTTTGGGGTCAAGGGGTCAAAGGTCAAGGTCACATTGACCTCTTAGGTAAAAACGGTTTCCGATCAATAACTAAAGAACCCTTAGGCCTAGGAACTTCAAACTTGATATGGTGATTGGTCATGACCAGCAGATGACCCCTATTGGTTTTGGGGTCAAGGGGTCAAAGGTCAAGGTCACATTGACCTTGTAGATAAAAACGGTTTCCGATCAATAACTAAAGAACCCTTAGGCCTAGGGACTTCAAACTTAGTATGGTGATTGGTCATGATCAGTAGATGACCCCTATTGATTTTAGGGTCAAGGGGTCAAAGGTCAAGGTCATATTGACCTCTTAGGTAAAAACGGTTTCCGATCAATAAGTAAAGAACCCTTAGGCCTAGGAACTTCAAACTTAGTATGGTGTTTGGGCATGACCAGCAGATGATCCCTATTGATTTTGGGGTTAAGGGGTCAAAGGTCAAGGTCACATTGACCTTGTAGGTAAAAACGGTTTCTGATCAATAACTTGAGAACCCTTATGCCTAGGAACTTCAAACTTGGTATGGTGATTGGTTATGACCAGCAGATGACCCCTATTGATTTTGGGGTCAAGGGGTCAAAGGTCAAGGTCACATTGACCGTGTCGGTAAAAACGGTTTACGATCAATTAACTAAAAATGCTTAGGCCTAGGAACTTGAAACTTTATATGATGATTGGTCGTGACCAGCAGATGACCCCTCTTGAAATTTGGGTCAAGGGGTCAAAGGTCAAGGTCACATTGATCTTGTAAGTAAAAACAGTTTCTGATCAATAACTAAAGAACCCTTAGGGCTAGGAACTTCAAACTTGGTATGGTGATTGGTCATGACCAGCAGATGACCCCTATTGATTTTGGGATCAAGGGGTCAAAGGTCAAGGTCACATTGACCTTGTAAGTAAAAACAGTTTCTGATCAATAACTAAAGAACGCTTCGGCCTAGGAACTTCAAACTTGGCATGGTGATTGGTCATGACCAGCAGATGACCCCTATTGATTTTGGGGTCAAGGGGTCAAAGGTCAAGGTCACATTGACCTTGTAGGTAAAAACGGTTTCCAATCAATAACTAAAGAACGCTTCGGCCTAGAAACTTCAAACTTGGTATGATGATTGGTCATTGCCAGTAGATGACTCCTATTGATTTTGGGGTCAAGGGGTCCAAGGTCAAGGTCACATTGACCTTGTAGGTAAAAATGGTTTCCGATCAATAACTAAAGAATGCTTAGGCCTAGGAACTTCAAACTTTGTATGATGATTGGTCATGACCAGTAGATGACCCCTATTGATTTTGGGGTCAAGGGGTCAATGTCATATTGACCTTGTACTTAATGACGGTTTCTGACCAATAACTCAACATCTCAAGTTGCCTTGGTTGATATTTTTATATTTAACTAAAAATGCTTTTGGTATACACATTTGAAGGTCTTATGTAATATAACAACTTAGCTGTCATTAATGAGGCCTACATGATTCATAAAATTTATGCATATATTATTTGGTAAGATTTGTAATAACTTAAATTGCTTCACACAACATATGGGGTCACAATTATTATTACCTTGTGACTAGTCATGACCAGTAGATACAAGATAACTGATAACCCTTATTGTTTGTTCACTGGGTCAGAAGTCATGCATAATAACCTGATCACATGACTAATTGGCTGCCGATAGGGGGCATACATGTTTTACAAACATATTTTGTTATAATTGACAATGAGTTCATTATTAGTCATATGAGTATATTGCATTGTAATAGTCAATTTGCTAAAGATATTATGCTCATTTGAAACATGTTATGAATATAGATTATAAGTGTGATCATAAATACTAGATAGTGATGATAATCCTTTGATATATGTCAACTTGAAAAGGCTATAGAACATAAGATACAGCATATAAGAAATATATATATAATGGAATTATCGAAATGGGACAAGAAATTAAATCCGTCAAAATGCCAAGTTATCCAAATTTTAAGATAAGAACCTCAGATACAATCTAAATACATGTATATCGTAGAATCAGTATCTTTGTGTCACAATATCAGATATAATCTACCTTATGGAACATTCACACACAGACACAGGGTGTACAGTACAGATCCAAATAAAATGTATATTAGTCAATCCTAGAACATGTACTTATCATATCTTTAAAACTTAATTTGAGCAGTTTTGAAAAAAAATCATATTTCAATATCTATAATAATATTTTTATGGTTTTTATTTTATTTATTTGGATTTTAAAAGCGTTTTGAGCTCCACACCCCAAGTGTATGTGCATTCACATTGACAACATTGTAAATAAAGGAAAAGTAAAAGATAAAATACTAGTCTTCCTGCTGGGAAAACATCAAGGTCAACGCTGAACCGGTGTAAAAATATAGCTTAACTACAGTTCCAATGTCTTGTTACCTTACCTTAGAGCTCTCAATAATCAAATTAAGTTTTGCCTGCTAGGTCAAAAAGGACTGCAATGGTACATCATGCATTTTAGCCATGTTTGATTCCCTGGGTAGAGAGCACTGAAGAACAAAGGCACATATAAATATTCAAAATACATGTATATTGCAAGATAAGGTTGCCATTCCCCTGCCAGACTTCCTTAAACCAATAGCAAGACCAACTGTCGAAATTCCCATTCCGCTACTTTTATACAAATTAAATAACACTAAACTACTAATAATACTCATTTTAATGGGACCATTTAGCACTTGAAGGCCATGCACCCATATGTTTGGGTCTTATTTTATAAGGCTGTAAACCAGATCAGGTACGTATATTAACGTACCTGACCAGACTGAACATGTCTCACTCTAAACACAAATTCCTTTAAACCTGTTTTAACTATCTCATCAAAAAAATCTTGGTCCCATCAGAAGTTTAGTTGAAGAGTGTCAGCAAACTATTAAAATAGTCCGCTCTGTAAACTAAACGCGATAAACCAATCAGATCATTTGTTTCGTCTTGAAAGTGAAAGTAGAGTTTTCCTGACAGGGTTTGTCAAAATATTGTGAAAGTGCAGTAAATAAGAGAGCAAGGTGTCAACAGACAGGGTAATAGCGTTATATTTGTATATAATATACTGAATGAAAGTATTTAAAGGAAAATTTCAACAAATTATTGTTTGCATGTTCAGAAATTATTGATTAAAATTTATGCAGACAGAATCCAGGCAAGAATATTGATTTTAAGCTCGTGACTCGAAGCACTGTCTACAGATTTCTTGGATATTGCTTTCCATTTGGTAGACGTAATATTTTAACTTGTAAAGAATGTGTTGTTTTATTCATACATTTTGATTTTTTGATATTTTTAAGCCAAAGGAATTGTTTGGTGTAAAGTTGAATTTCTTTTGGATAAATCTTTGGATGTATTAGATTTTATATTTTGTAAATTACAGCAATAGCTGTGTGAGTCAGAGTGAATGCATAATTAGAATTTATCATTTGCTCATGGTTTATTTTTGTTTCTTTATGCAAGATTGTTATATTGTCTTTTATTGAATTTAACTGTGTCCTCCGACTTCTATCAGTCATTCATTGCATTTTACATGTAAATTATTACCTAAATTGAAAATATTTTACTTTTCTTCAAATCTCAATCACATAATACATACTGTATTTCTTAAGGTTGATTTCTTTTTAACTTTTTAGCTCGTCTGAAGGCATGGAGCTTTGAGGAAATTGATTAGATACAATTTTTACTTCATATCAACTCCCTTACTTTGAAATACTCTGATTTAATTTGAATTATATGTCATGATTTATTTTAGATATGACTCATAAGTTAATAGATATAAGTTAGCGTAGATACTTTTAAATATACTAGTCTTCCTGCCTGATGAAAAGTAAGAGTTTCATGCCATAATTATGTGCACTGTACAGTTATGATGAAAAGATGGTAACTCTTACAGTAATCCTGCACAGTTATGATGAAAAGGAGGTACATGTAACTCTGACAGTAAACAAAATTATGAAATCACTAGGGACCTGGCATCTCAAACAATTTTACCATCTGAAAAAAATTTAAACTCTGCTACATATTATATTAAACATGTTTTTTTTTTTCTTCAAAATCTCCTTTGCAGTTAGTGAACAAAGTTATAAACCCGAGGTGAAACATCCAGAAGAGATCATGGCAGAGCAAGGAAGCAGTAATGGTGCAGAAGGAGGAGCTAAAATTTCTTCCAACAAGGATCTTCTAAAACACTATGAAGATCAAGTAAGATATTTCTTTGAATAATGTGGACCTTGGTGTAGCAGTACTCATGCTATCCAGGTTCGTTAGGTTCAATATTCTTTTAGTCTGATGTCGCTGTATTCATTCTTTTATCAATCGTTCATATATTTTCTGTTGTAAAGTATGACAACAAAACATTGAAAATCATCAATATGCATTTAAAGTAGCTTTTAATATTTATTTATGAGTTTATGTTAAAAGGCACATTATTTTCTTACACATTTATATTTTAATGTAGGACAATAATATTGTAAAGTGAGTTTTAAGGATCTTTAAGTTATATTGTATTAATATGTAAAAATAATTCCATAATTTATACTTTTAATTAGTTAATGCAAAATATTTTTAATGTTCATAATCCTGTTCATTTATATTGTTTTAGACATATATGATTGATGTAAAGCGCCTTTGAACATTTTAATGAAAAGGGCGCTATATAAATGTGGTATTTATTATTATTATTATTATTATTATTAATGTTCCTCTAGAAATCATAAAAAAGAATGATTTAAGGGTGGTTTTATTCATTTGATTATTGGAAATTTTATGCAAGAAGTATCAACTGAAGACAATAGTAGCAAGGTATATTGAAAAGGGGGAATTACATGTATGTTGAGTTGTAAAAAGAAAAGAAAAACAATAAGAAACAGGGAAAAAATATAACAAATTTTGATCTGACCCATCATCATTTCAAACATTAAGGAAAGCTCCCCACCTATCAGTAAAATGAATCTATTTTTTGCGGAGTAGGGGATCAAGTTGATTTTTTTCTCAAGAAATAGGAGAAATACCATGCTTGTTCAAGAGGGGTGTTGTGCTGATATTCACTTCTTATTTAACTTCTTAATCAGACTTAAAAATCACTGAAAAAGTATTTTGAGTATTGTATGCACTTTTTCTTTCTAGATTGTATTACATTGCCAGGTTCAATGCCAATCTGCAGAGCCCAGATGTTATCTTAAAATATCTATGTTTGGGGTTAAAATACACTGCATAGTACATATTGTTAACATAACGAAAGGGACTACATGTACCTTTGTCTGAAAATGTTCTCAACTTGCTATCAGTGATCTAATTTTATACTTTTGTCTTGCATCAGAGGCACTTTGGATATCTGAACAGATATCTGAACCGCTTATTATGTTTTCAAGACCTGTCAGTAATGATAGTTTACATTCCTTTATTAGTCCCCTACCGGTTTAACTGGAGGGGACTTTAGGTTTACCCTCCGTCCGTCTGTCTGTCAGTCTGTCTGTCAGTCCGTCCGTCCACAAAACTGGATCCTGCGATAACGCAAAATGTACTGAAAATATTTTAATGAAACTTGATATATGGATAGATGGCAGTATGGAGATTATGCACGTCTTTTTTTTTCTTCCTATGTTGAAAATTCTGGTTGCTATGGCAACAAATAGCCTGAAAATATGGCAAATTGAACACATAAACTGGATCCCGCGATAACGCAAAAAGTACTGAAAATATTTTTATGAAACTTGATATATGGATAGATGGCAGTATGGAGATTATGCACGTCTTTTTTTTTCTTCCTATGTGGAAAATTCTGGTTGCTATGGCAACAAATAGCCTGAAAATATGGTAAATTGAACACATAAACTGGATCCCGCAATAACGCAAAAAGTACTGAAAATATTTTTATGAAACTTGATATATGGATAGATGGCAGTATGGAGATTATGCACGTCTCTTTTTTTCTTCCTATGTTGAAAATTCTGGTTGCTATGGCAACAAATAGCCTGAATTTCAAGAATATATTCTGATTTAAATTTTTCAGCTTTTTCACTATAAGTTCTTTATTTCTTAAGGTGTTTACTTCAAACTTTAAATATAAGTTTCTGGTCATCAACCACATCATATGTGACAAGGTTTACAACTCTAGCACAAAAATTATCAGTATTACCTCCCTTGAACTTAGAATTTTTATGAAAAAAATGTTGTCTTTTTTAAATAACTTCTTTATTTCCTAATGTATCTGCTTCAAACTTCATATATATGTTTCTTATTATCACTCAACATTTTTGAGAAGGTTAAATACTCTAGCAAGACTATTTCCAGAATTATGTCCCCCTTGAACTTAGATTTTTTTCGAGAAATTGGTATTTTTCACTCCAACTTCTTCATTCATTATAGGATTTACTTTAAAATCCCACATCGTAATAATATGACAAGGTTGTATAAACATAATTTCCTTACTAGGCAGGGAAACTTAACACATTACTGTGATATAGACAAACTTAGAACTCAAAAGATTTAAGTTCATTCATGTCATTCATTCACTGGTAAAATTGACTGGCCAATGGCCCATCAGAAAGTTGCTGGGGTTCTAACCGGTAGGGGACTTATGGATTGCTTGCAATACTATGATAATTGCTTGTTTCATATAGGGAGTTGAACAGATGTTTGCAGTACAGCCATTAAAGAATTGCAAACACCTTGAAGAAGTTACTCCATTGCCAGAAAGGGGATTGAATGTTGAGGACCCCTGTGAAGAATGCCAAGCAAAGGGAGAGAATTGGGTGTGTCTTATTTGTTATAAGGTAAGGTTTAGTTTTTAGCTGGTCTGTTTAGAAGAAAAAGTTGAGATTGTATGATCACTGCATAGTCATTGTTATGCAAAAACTTTCACCCTTACACTGCTAGAACCAAAAGTGATAAGTCTTTGCCATAAGTATATATACAGGCCTGCCTATAAAAAGTATGCTCGTGAAGTTTGACCAGGCTCAAATACTATTGGCTGACTAACTTTAAACTTTAATCCTGATATACCGTAATTGATAATTGACATTTTCATAAATGGAACCTGGACAAGTTCATTTATGAAATTCAGCAGGTTAAGGGTTAAGCCCACTTCTCAAAGAATTTTTAAGGTATCAACTGGAAACTCTTTGGGTTTTGAGGTTACGGTTACCTAATTTCAAATCACTTGCCCCTCACCGCTGTAGAATTGAATCCTGCGATGGACTTGGGACTTTTTCATGTGAGGAAGCTACATGTATCCAGCTAGCACACGGAGGGTTGGTGATTCAACTTGGGTGCTGGCTTGTGCCTTAAAAAATGTACGAAGGGGCACATGATGTCATCCTCCATCATTTAACCTAGAATGTTACCATATGACTATTACATTGTCAGTGTGACTTAAAATTAAACAAAACAAGCAAAAATGAATGATTTCACTCAAATAATGACATATTGCACTTTATTTCTAAACTACATGTTAGTTTTAGAAGAAAATAAAAACACTGGATTTGATTTATGAATTAAAAGATGTACTGCTGTAGGTATGTTTTATTCAAAAGACTGGTCTCTTGAATTCTTGGGTTTACAAAATTTCAACTACATGAATTCCTGATTTCGACATACAGTATTCACGATTTCAACTTTAAGAATTCAGGATTTCGAACATCAGGAATATAACTCCATGAATTCATGTTTTGAACTTCACAATTTTCTTGAATCCACTATTCCAACATGGTGAAGAAATCATGAAGTTGAAATTGTGAATTAATGAAGTTTAAATTGTTAATTCGTGAATTGTGAATTCACAAGGGTGATATGGGGAATTCATAAAGTTGAAGTGTCCTCACCCTTCTTTTCGTAGTTTATATATTTAAAGATATACTGCAGTGGGTATGTTTTATCTATTTAAAGGTGTACTGCAGTAGGTATGTTAAGGAACACATGGTGAAGCACGGAAAAGAGGCTAAACACCCAGTAGTTCTGAGTTATGCTGACCTATCTGTTTGGTGTTATGAGTGTGATGACTACTTGGATAATGAGGTATGTATGTCATTTTAACTAGGATAATGTGAAACATATGTTGTACAAACACCAGCAGAGTCTGATATATATTTTATATACATGTAGTTTAGAAGAATCAGTATTGAGCTTAACACTGTATAAAGACATATTTATTTCACACCAATTAATTTTTGACATTTTGACAGAGCTTTGTTACTTTAAGTACTTTTAGGATTTAATGTGAAAATTTTGAAAATCAGGCTAGATAGAGTACACTAGCAATTGGATATTGATTTCTTGGACTCAGAAAATGTAAACAAGGCTAGATTGAGTACGTGGATTTATTTGACTGGCAAAGTGAATTGGATTCAATAATTATATTGGGAGATCCCATGGTGCAAATGCTTGAAGTTCATTGGTTATATTTTATAAGGTGTTAAAAATAGTTTTTGATATAACACTGTATAGAAGGCGAAATGGAGGCAACTTCCATTCTAATCTAATCTGAGTAAGTTCTAGTTGCAGTTTATATAATACAGTACAGCATCTAAGATATTTGTGATGAAAAGGTCCGTCTGCTTAGCTCAGGGACGGCATTTAATTAATGATCCAGTGGTACAGTCCTTGGGCAAGGTGAAATTTCTCCATGACAATTAATCTTAGACATTAAAAGTCAAACGGCCTCACTCCACTAATTTAGAAATCATATGGGATTTGTGGTCAGTCACTTGCAGAAAAATTGGTAATTGCTGAGATATGGCCAAATATCTTTTAAAATGGTAATTACCAAAATACTTACATGAAAACAAACAGACATAATGAAAAGGTGCATGAGTCTTGTAAAAATGATGCACTTAAGTTTGATGATAGGTTAAAAATACAGTAGAACTTCTATGTATCAAATTTTGTTTAGTTGATTTTCTAAGTAAGATGAAAGTCTATATATTCTTTATTTAAACTGATTTACTATATTATAGTAAGCTGTTTTAGTTATCGCCCTTTCCTTATATTACCTTCCACCTCGACTTGCGGAAGTTCTACTGTAGGTGAAAAAGGCTTTGATAAAAAAATTTTTTATATTATCTTTCAGATGTTAAAGCCTGCTAAGCAATCTGCACACAAGAGTAAATTTGGTACAGATCTTTGTTAAAGGGCAATAATATGATGTAGATCATAGCTTTGATGGTTGTGGAATTGAAGGACCAATCACGTGGCTTCTTGCTTATCACAGTATAAAGAGCAAATAAAGTGTTCCATCTACATGTGCTTTATAAGTTTACTGGACAAGCGTTCTATCCTACATGTGCTTTGTTAAAGTAACTGAATAATGTGCTTTATTCATGTGCTTTGTAAATCTGAAAGAGAATCTTCTTTCTTATGTTATTTTGTTTGTCAGATATATTTTTGATGCACCCTTGCAAAATTTGGTAAAGACTTTCTTGCTCAGTCATTCCTTCTGTTTGTCTGTTACATATCTCAAAGAACCTTCATTGTTAGACATCTAAGATATTTAATGTGTTGGTTTCTACCATTAGCATTTACCATTGAGAAGGTTTTCAGGGTCGCTGAGACTAAAAATAGATTTTCACTACTTTTCTGCATAGGACGGCTATGTATTTATTACCAATATTCTTGTTCAAACATGTATAGGGATTGTTACTGTTTTATGAGGTATCCGTGGCCCATTGGTTAAGGTCATTTGCCTCTCACCGCAGAAGGTTCGATTCATGCCAGCGTCTTCGAATTCTTTCATGTGAGTAAGCTATATAGCTAGCTTACAGGATGTTGGTGGTTCTACTCAGGGGCACCTGAAAGTAAAGCTGGAAAGATGCCATTTGACCTTTACTACATTGGTGCAACATAAAACCCAACACTGTTAAAATATGTTGTAATATTCATGTACAAATTACTGATACTGTGAATCTAATATGCTTGAATTAAAACAGATATTATTATAGTTATACCTTCACGTATTTAGTACTGTAGACAATTGCTAAAGCTGTGATAATATACATTGTTTATATTGGAAATTGTGAGTTTAATACATTAATGAATTGGTAGATAATTATACATATTGTACAGGTAAATTCTATAAATTGGTATTTATACCCACCAAAATAGATATTTTCTCTCAGTTCAGGGGTGATAACAAAGAGATTAAAAAAATAGACATGGGCAACGAGTTTTTACTTTACAATTACAATAGTTCTCTAGGCATTTTCTAGATAATAAAGTATAAGCAGATAATTTTCTGTACTTTCAACTACCAGTATTTCATAGAATAATGCATGTAATGTTAAGTATTTTTGAAAATGTGTAGTTTAGCTGAAATAATGTATATAATTATGCTCTTTTCAGTTGTTATAATTTTTTTATCAATAGAATAACATGTTTTATAAAGATAAAGAATTGTGAAAAAGATACATGTAATCATTATCATAATCTGATTGGGTGTTCATATTGACTTTTTATCAGCAGTGCAATAGCTATTTTTGAAGTAAATCATAATTAGATATATCACAAAAGTTAAAGTGATCAATGTTGTGATTAATGCAAAATGATTTGATCTTCAGAAGAATTTTTTTCCAGAAGCTTGATTTTGAATTTCATGTTATTTTATTACATGTATTATTATTTTTTAAAAATTTTTTTTTGGTGGGGTGGGGGAGTTGTTTCATAATACAATGTCTTAACTGATAATATTTGTCTTGTGGAAAGAATTGTTAAATATCTCTGAGTTCTTTAAGTTGAAAGCAAGGAATACTAAAAATACTTCCATAATACATGTATATGAGAGAGTTGAATAATTGTCAAATGATTTAATACTGTGATAAAGGAAAACCTTATCTTTGTTTATTTCTCCAGTTATCCCCCACCCGACTTTCCAGGCAGGTGGGAAGCTTGGGGTTACTGTAACATAATCAACATGTGATATTCTACATTTTAAAAAATCTGGACATGATGTGATAAGTTAATCAATACATGTAGAATAGGGAGTATATTAATCTTAAAGTATTGTAGAGTTTGCATGAGATTTCCATGGTTATGTACTTTGAAATTTGCACTTTTACAGATTTTTATATTTTGATATGGATAATGATATTAATGTTACATAAATTCATTGTAAAGTGAATTATAAGTAAGTACATGTTTGAAAATATAATAAATTTAAATATCATATAAAATGAAATGTACATGTTGTACTTACCTATTGGGGTTTTTGAATGAATTTAATATGTTTATTTTTGCTAAAATGTTAGTATTCAAGTTGTAGAAAAATTTTCTTAATTATTTTATGTTAAACTTAACTTTTGTTGAATTGTTAAGATTATTTCTAATTGTTTAAGTGGCAGCATTTAGCTTATATTTTTGTCAATAATTTGATTTAGACAGTCTTACTTGTCTGTAAACATCTTTATTGTGCTGTTTATCTACAATTAAAGCTGGTAATGTAGTAATAAATCTCTATAAAATGTAGAAAATAGTTCTGTGTTACTTTCTTTTATACCTGAGATGGTCTGTTTGAACAAAAAGTACATGAACCGTAATATGCCTTCTTTTGTTTATAAAGACTTGATGAAATTTTCAAAAAAAAAAGAAGAAAAACCAGGTCACAGTGTAAGAATGCCCCAGTCGAATGGTTTTCAATTTTGTCTGGAGCATAACTATAAGTAATACTTGCCATTATGAGACTTGCTGTTCCACACATGAGTAGGTCAAAGGTCAAGGGCACACTGGAAGGTAAAGTGTACATATACTTCAGCTTGCATTAAGGGATTGTTATGCAACTTGTCACAATGTGCTGCATTGAGTTAGGCTCAACATTATGGTCCCTGTGGCCAAGGTCGGGTGCAGAGGCCAAAGGTCAAATATTAAAAATGAGAATTAGGCCTGAGGTCATCATGAATTTGGGAATGCAAATGGTCACTGTTATGTGACTGAGCATTTGTGATGGACGTATTTTATGACGATGGCACTCTTATCTTGGTTTTCATAACTTACCAGAACCCATGTGTATCAAAACAGAGTAGAATTCTATAATAGCAAGGCTAAACCACCATGGCAAGAGCCAGTCAGCTGTCACATCTTTGCTGTCCCAGTCCACTTGGTAAATGTTTGCATGTATAGTATACATGTATCTACATAACATTGTATTTTGATAGCAAAATGACTGACATTTAAAATTTACTGTATTTATTGAAGTAGGACAGAGACTATACTAATATGAATTTATACTATATTAATATGAATTAAACTAATCCAAGAAGACCATAAAAATTCAACACTCTTTGTAATTTAAGTAAAAAAAATATACTTACTACAGTAGTTTGAGAAAAGGATATGTATACATGCTTGCAATTTATACCTGAAAGATTGATCCTTCATAACATTATACTTTTACTAGAGGGAAATTTCAGGTTCATTCATTATCTTTGATTGGATGAGTTGTATTTCTAGTATTTGAAAATGTTTTGGTAATGCTATGTTGTTGTTATACAATTTATATATATTTAAGTGCGAGGGTATCAATTATTCAAGACCTTTTTAAAAACATATGGGAACTGCCTCTGCGCTGATTTACAGGGTTGATAATCTATGAATGAACTGACATCAGAACCCCGACATTATTGACTGTCCTGATGACTTTGAGATAACGAGAGTCGACTGTAATATAATATGCCTTGCTTTAACGACACAACCTATACTCCTGCAAGATTTTCTCTGTTAGCGCAAATGGACCAAAGTTGTACAGCAATATCCCAGTAGGAAATTAGTCCACTGATTAAATACCGTATCAACACGTGATCAGTGCATACATTATATTTTAATGCAATGCTCCCTAATCATATCACTAGTTTTCCCGCTCTCAATTTTGTTTTATTTTAAATTAACGCGCAAACACATGAAACCACCTACATGTACATATTGCTCTCACATTCTGCCTCCGGTGAATATGTTTAATGTTGCACGCATTTCACAATTCAATTTTCCGAAGGGAAACAGCAAATTTTTCTTTGTATATTTTTAATTAAGTGAGCAAATAGCAAACGAAAGAAGTTATATTATACATTTGTAAACGGCATTTTAAGACTGTGCGGAATAGTCTTTTGCAACCGATACTTGCTTGAAATACCTTTGGTAAAGTCGGACTTTTTGGATAATTGTAATTCTAAATAATTGATGTCCATAACTTGCAATTCAATTGTTACAGGTCCATGCATAGGAATGTAGTTAATATTTGATCGAAAATATTTATTTATAGGATAAAGAAAATAAATCAAACGCATATCCTACATGTTTCCCCGTCAAATGTAGTTACATATGTGTAGACTGAATACGAGGAGTGTTCAAATATGATTGCATCTAAGCCATGATTGCATCTAAGCACATAAAATTTATTCTTTATAGATTACACAATTATTTTTATGTATTCACCCCCAACAGGTAGGTATACAATTAAAGTTTTAGTCTTCGGATCCAGTCTTTGAAGGCATTTTCGTAGTGTGTTATGAAGACACTGAAATATTTACAGAACCGATGTGTTTGCGCTGAACAAATTTTCGGCCTGAAAGGCATTTTAGCGTTGAAAAAGAAAAAAGTCACAATTAAGGGGCAAGGTCAGGTCAATACGGAGGATTGAGGAGTACAAGGATTTTTTTCTGCTTCAGAAAGTATTGCACTATATATAGACGCCTTGTGTAATGCCGCGTTGTTTTGTAGCAATTTGACATTAGCCAAATATGTTGCGGGTCTTCGTTTTTGGAAGCATTTGTTTAGAGTTCGATCTTGCCTTCATGAACAGCAACTTGAATGGCGGGACCCTGAGTTGTAAAGAATATGGCATACACTACCTTTGTTGGTCTTTTTTGCAATACGACTTTGCAGCCCAAATCGTGTTTTGTGTCTTTGTTTTTGGTGATATTTGCAAATGACTTTGCATTATAACTTGGATACTACTCACATATATATATACCCAAAATTAGAATATTTTCCTGCAAAACAAAATAGAAAAAATGATATAGTTATCATTGCGTTTTATCTTTTCATGTAGCCCATGACACATATATACACTTAAGAACTTTTCTAACGCTACCAGTAGCTTTTTCATAATAACTTTAAAACTACCAAAAGGAACTGAATAATATTTTCAGGAAATACAGATTAGAACAAATGCCAATGTTTGATATAAAGTTTACAATACAATAAGTCTAGAAATAACAGATTTTATCAATTAATTATCCAACGAAACCCCGTTTTTAAAAGTCGCAAATTTAGCCAACTAATCAACTTTTTTTACAAATTCATAATAAATTAAATTTGTATCAGAATGACACGCGTCATTTGATATATATTATTTTTACATTTACGTTACACAAAGATGTCATGGTGATAACAATTTACATTACTTTTTTGTAAATTAAGCTAGCCCTAAATTTTATTTTTCAAATAATCCACACGACAAAACCAAGCATATCACCGCCTACTGATGTAAAATACGCGAACATTTCAAGTATGTACATGTGCATTATACTGCATATAAGAAGCATAGATTAGCCCTTTTGACTTTAAAAAAAATACATGTACATTTGTACTGGCTGGTTGAAGCCTAGTATAATATCTAGGAAGACTTGCGTTTTATCAATGACCAACTTTTGAAGTTTCGTCTCCACTAAGATTTTGGAGCCAATATTGCAATGTAGTAGGAAGATACCCCCCCACCCCCTACAAAAAAGAGAAGAAAAAAAACAAAGAAAGTTTGAGATGAAATTCTGTGATTCAGGTAAAATGATTAAGGTTAAAAAATATCATAAATATCAAAAACCTTCACTTTTTCCGGTACTTTGCATAGTCTTCATTGGAGCATTTTCATTAATGATAGTATTGATAATATCTTTATTTACAGAAGATATACCATCGTAGAAAACAAATAACATACCTTAATTTTAAATGTGGTCTTCTAAACACTATATAGAAACACAAACAAAAAACATCGTAAAACAATAACAACTACTTAGTATTTCATTAAGATTTTGTTCTAAATCTTTTCTATTTTTGACAAACTGTACTTGCATTGGTATGTACCGTGGCTCAAACAATTTGCAGGGTTAAAATTAAATCCATAATATCTGCAGCTTGTTTATATGACGAGACCAGAAAAAAATTTCCTTCCCGGACAATGCCCGGTGCTCGGCTCGTTGGTATTGACTGATGTTTGTTATCCCTGATAATTCCCTATAGCTGCTCATGCATGATTCGTTGATTTCACGACTTCATATTTAAAACAGCAGGACAGCAATTCCTATAAGCCCGGAGATCTATTTCCACTCTCAATCAATTCACCACTTGTATTGACATCACAATTTATATAGTGTATTATGTAAATATATATTTACATGTATATCATGTCAGATTCTTTTCCCCCTCTATATTACTGTAGATTCTATTTTATTTGGTTCCTTTCATTGTTCCTCGTATATACATGTAGATCGATCAGCATTCTTTGACTTGGTTACCATTCGCCGCTTTCAATGGATCGGCACAATAGGCTTGATTGCGTTATTTAAGGGTCTATATATGATAGCTGCCGTATTTACCATTTATATATGAATATGAAGAAATTGAGTTCTGCTGAAGCCCGTGCTTAACTGGGTTTGGAGTGGCGTTGATGTTCGTTAGGTTAGCTCGATTTTAAAAGATATTTGACAAAAACCAAAATGTTTCTATATAGCAAACACTGCTGGTGCATGTCAAAAGCTGGCTAAAAGCACAGATTATACAAATTTAAGTGGGAAAGCGCACGATAGATATATAGGAGCAGGAACATAAAAATGACCATATGTTCCAGATAAGAGAGAGAGAAAAAATGTTACCATTGATTTTTATATAACAGTCGCTTGTGTTGAAGCAGTTAAGGTTGGAACATTGTTAAAATCAGGACATAATTATAGTAATGACAATATTTTCACGGACTTTAATTACAGTCCGTGATATATCTAGGAACACGACTTCCTTATTATGTAATTCATGTTAATCTTGAAAGGGTTCATTGATTGAATAATTGATAGATAAGTTTTCGCCAGTAATGGATTGCCTTATATCACTACTCGATCGTAGCTATATAGCTGTCAGGGTGTATCAAAAATTCTCAAAATTTATTTATACCCTGATATTTAAAAAGTATTTTGTCCTTTTTGGTCCTTTGTCAACTTGATTCTTACCTAGTAGCGCATGTTACTTTTTTCTCTAAACTATATTGTGACCTAAGTAGCTACTGTATACATGTAACATTAACATATAATCAAAATAATCATTTACAAGTACGCAATCGATCTCCTTTTGTTCAGATACCGTCTTTTAGTTTGATACTTTCTTTAGGTTCATTACATCTTTGGGTTTTGTATGTGCTGTAGGACAAAATGGCGACCTTGCAACGGTTAGCAAGGCCTTGCCGACAAATTTTGAAGAATTATGCGCGTAATAGAGTGCCAATGAATTCTTGCAGAATGATAACTACTTCTGGCAAAAATAAAGACATTGCTTCAACTGGAAATGAATCGTTAGTTGAAAAATCCCAGGAACTGAAGGACCTAGAGGAGCATTTTGGCGATGCAAATCCAGAAAGATTGAAGGTTTTCATTTGTTTACACCTATCATATAGGTTATTTACATGATTAAAGACTCCTGCATTGTGTGTGTTTTAGTTTTATTTATACTGGGCGCCGGTTTCCCATATGTCCCAGACTAGTCGGCCTCTATTACGATTGCTGGTAACGTAGAGCCTGCAACGGAGGACTTATTCGCCTGCAACGTCGTCGATGTCGTAGAGCCGCGACGGAGGTCTTTTCAAGCTGTCGATCGTCGTAGACCTTCTCTAGGACCAAATTCTCTCGCTTGTTGAACAAATGACAATAGGAGGAAAGGCACCTCTTCCGGGAGCAGCAGCTCTCTTTAGGGCCACACCCTTCGTCGTTGGTTAGGTCACACCAGCTAAGTGACCTAACTAGGTCACCCATCTGGTGTGACCTATGCCTTCCGAGCGACGTGCACGCCACGAAGGGAAGTCGGAAGTATAACTCCTGCATGAAGGCACAATACAGTTTTAACATCCCCGGGTGTTTTCCGTTATTTAAGAATTCCTATGACGTATGTTATAAACGGAATGGCTACGGACTACGGGTCATTACGGCTAGCCAAAAGTTCTAGCTGTACGTGAGTTACATACGGCTAGCGAGAACACACTGTATATTGGCTAGCCGTACGGTAGTTTTCAAAATTATATGGTAGTTGAAAATGCATAAGCGAGGATTTTAACCAAGAAACAAAAGAAGAGATTAATCGCCTAGTCCACAGGAACTTGAAATTCTATCAATATTAATGATAATATCCAAAATATACCCCTATACAGTGTAAATAAACACAAGAAATGAAACGCCTTTTCCCCACCCAACATAATTTACGCCGAACAAATCAACAAAACAACGGATCAAAATAATCTATCGGGCCATTATGATAAACAATACATAAATGCGTCAAATACCACCGATAACTTTGATAACTTTTTAAAATCGCGTAGCTGTTTAGGAATAATTCAACATTTTCAGATTATTTCCCACGATCTGAGTTTGTAGCCGACTCCATTCCGTGACGTCACTGGATTTTGATCCGAGGAGTATAATATTTATTAAAATTTGTTTTAACATGTTCAAAAATAACAAGTTTGCAAGTAAAATACTGTCGAACTAGAACAAATGACTAATTTCTTTCTTACGACATGGCTGAATTTATTTGCTGGGCCATATCAAATAGAGTACTCAAATATTTTTTTTAAACAAAAGGATATGCTTTAATTAAGGCTCATTGATTGTGCTTTTATGGTCGATATTTATCTAAGTACTGTATTTAAGAATTATACAATTGTTTTTTCTTTTCACCGTTTTTTTTATGTTCTTTTTCTATTCATTTATGAATTCCACTCCGATCATGCCGTTATGAAAAAGCTTCTTTTGCCGTTATGATTATTTATTCGATCCATGTGCTTAATTAAATAATTCCTCTTTCAATTTCATACAAATAAAACAACAAATCATAAGCATGTAAAACCACAATGTTATAACTTATAACATGCAACTTGCATTAAATTACCTTCATATTCATTTAAATAAAATGAAGAATTTTTATTAAAGTGAACACACAAGAAAAAATGCAGGGACTTGGTCAAAATCCTCATTTAAAGACATAAAATAACATATATATGCATTTTCGACTTTCACATAATTTTGAAAAGTGCCATACGGCTAGACAATACAGTGTGTCCTGGCTAGTTGTACGTGACTCACATGCCCATATGGCTAGCCACTTCCTATAAAAATCTGTGTCAGTCCAAGTGTAAGTTTCAGGCTACAAATTATGTCATGACGGTCTCATCTCTTAGACCTGTGTGATTTCTTACTTTTGGGCTGTACAGTGGTAATTTGCCTGTACATAAGGATCTGTTCATAGTCAGTTTTGATATTAAAATATCTGTTGCATTGATTCCAGTGTCGTCCACGGCCTAGTGATTAAGGTCGTTGACTTCAAACCACTTGCCCCTCACCGCTGTGGGTTTGAATCCCTACAGGGACTTTGGATTCTTTCATGTGAGGAAGCTTTTCAGATAGCTTATGGAACGTCGGTGGTTCTACTCAGGTACCCGTTCCTGCCTGAAAAAATGCAAGGAGGGGCACATGAGGTCTTCCTCCACCAGTAAAGATGGAACATCGCCAAATGACCTATACTGTGTCGGTGTGACGTAAAACCCAAATCGAACAAACATTGATTCCATGCGAAAATCCGACAATATTATAATTTTTTACCACCTAGTGGAAAATTTTGACACCGAGGACGGACATACCCATAATTTTCATACTCAGATGCAGCAAACCTTGTCTATAACAATATAACAAAATATTATTTTACATGAATAACAAGATGAAACATATTTTAGGTCAAATCAATGCGACTAGCACCTTTGTGTCAGTCAGGTGCTTTGTATTAAGATGAACATTATAGTTAATGGCCATTCAATTTCATATGGGCTTGGCCGCTTTACTGCATTCTTATATGAGGGAACTACTTTTACATAAGACACTAATAATGTTTACGTAATACCAGAATACATGAAGAGTCAGTGTACTGGTGTCGTACACTTAAAGGAAAAATAAGAAAATTATTTTTTAGTTCAAAATTCTTCTTATTATTGATATTATTTTGAAAATTACATCTTTTGCCCATAAAAAAGTGCTGACCAAAACGTTTACAGTGTAACTTCTGAAAACCGAACACCCATGGGACTTGTCAAAAAGTTCGGATTTCAGAGGTTTCCGGAATTCAGAGGTTTATTATAATGTGGACAAGACTAAGCCACTAGATGTCAAGGAAAATGTGGCCATTACTGTAATATCATATATAATAGTATTTTAATCAAGATAAAGATGTGAATTAAAAAATACTTTTATATTTAACACTTTATTGATACTTATAATGTTGATACTTATATAAAACATACATATACAACGATTTTTTATTGTAAATAATCAATGTTTATGCATGTTAGTTACATATTTGCAATTTATTGTCATTTAATCCGCTAATAAACACTTCAAATTAACTGACCGCCATAAATTACTTTAATTAACCGCATCAATTCAAACATACAATTTCACAGTTTGTGATTTTAACGCGTGTCAAATTACACGATCACCGCTAATTAGTAAACAATCGATAGGGAGATTAAATCTTCCTGCAGAGTAAACATTCTCGATTTACAATGTATTTCACACCTTTGGATATTTCCGGTTTTTGGAGGTAAAATTGCATTGGTTTGACTCTAATTTTACGAAAATATCGTCCGGAATTCAGAATTTAGAAGTTCCGGAATTCAGAAGTATTATATCAATAGAAAATAGAAGGGAAAAAATCGGGACCGAAAAAATTGTTCGGTTTTTAGAAGTTTCCGGATTTCAGAAGTTCCGGAATTCGGAAGTTACACTGTATATCTTAAGTAGGTCATACTTCTACATGTAGGTGCGCTTGAATTTAAGCGACAGGAACGGGCCAAACATAATAAATAGTGGACTAGGTTCTGCACACATGGTCATTTTTAGCTCACCTGTCACAAAGTGACATGGTGAACTTTTGTGATCACTTTTCGTCTGTCGTCTGTAAACTTTTACTTGAAACAACATCTCCTCATAAACCGCTATGCCATCTTCTTTTAGAAAACCCCAAAGTGGTAGAGCTTAGATATTTGGCATGAAACATCTTCTAGTGAGTGTCTATCAAGTTTGTACAAATAAAAGCCCTGGGGTCAAAATTGGCCCCGCCCCAGGGGGTCATTGCTTTTCCTACTATGTATATAGTAAAAACTTAAAAAATCTTCTCTTAAAAAACCCAGAGATAGAGCTTAAATATTTGGCATGAAACATTGTCTGATGAGTTTCTACCAAGTTTGTTCAAATAAAAGCCCTGGGGTCAAAATTGGCCCTGCCCCAGGGGGTCATAATTTTTCCTTATATCAGGGCTCATCCTGGGGGGAAATTTTAGGGAGAAGTGACGACCTCGCGAAAATTAGGGAGAAGGGAAACAACCCAATGTGTATGCATTAACATGCATGGCTATACATCCTTTAATTATAATATAAACACAATTAACATCACTTATAATATTTCTCCAGTTTATTAATTAATAGTAGATTAATTCATGGTAGTATAAATTAAAAGTAGATTAATTATTTAGTAGTAGATCTGGCAATGGCATCTAAATGTTTTTGAGCTGCAAATATGAACATAAAAAATTATTTTTGATATCTATTGATCAGCTATTTATAAGCTTTCTCTAAATATGTGTTTATATATTTTCATGTACATTTGTTGATAATAATGTGTAAGAAAAGATATGATGATAAAATCAATTTCATATTTTTTACTTTTAATACTTTCCTCACCTTTAAAAGAAGATGAAGTCACATTGGATATTGACTAATAATATGAGCCGCGTCATGACAAAACCAACATAATGGATTTGCGACCAGCATGGATACAGACCAGCCTGCGCATCCGCGCAGTCTGATTATGATCCATGCTGTTTGCTATCAGTTTCTTTACTTGTTATAGGGTCTGTAAGCGAACAGCATGGATCCTGATCAGACTGTGCGGATGCGCAGGCTGGTCTGGATCTATGCTGGTCGCAAACCCATTATGTTGGTTTTTTCGTGACGCGGCTCATATCTGTTCTGGTAACAGAAATTTCTTACATTGTACAGAATGTTGTAATGTCACGATTATATGCATATAATTATGCTTATAAAACAATTTTCAAACATTAAAGAATATGTAAAATAAGTACTGCAAACATTTGTGCACATTATATTTGATCACTAAAATTACATACATTCATTTCTTATTGAAAAATTTGACTGAGAAATTGTAGAAAATTAATTTCTAATTACCTCCCTTTATTTTCATGAAATGTTAAATTCGGTAATATCTTTATAAATAATGCTTTTTAAAATTTACAATATTGATAAATCTTAATCTAAGCGTCATATTTACGACATTAAAACAAATATATATATTGAAACAATAAGAACACT